TTTTTTTTTTTTTTTTTTTTTTTTTTTTTTTTTTGCTAGACATATCAGACAATCTTTGTAGCAATTGAAAAACGTTAAACTGAAAATTACCGTTTGTAGAAAAAAATAAGGAAAGTAACTCGAGATAACATCCCAATCAATGTTAATTCAGTAAAATGCCACTGCGTCTTTGCATAAATTGATTAATGAGTAACTAAAGCCAAATAATTAGAAAAATATAATCAGAAACGAAAACTACAACTTCGGCAGCAATTAGACAGCAGCAACGGCAAAGAAAACAAAAAGGCAAGCAAAAAACCATTTTTTCTCATCGTCATTCTTCATTTTCTTTGAGAACTTAGCGTACATAAAATGTAAAACAAAATAATTTTAAAAAACAAAAAAATCCCTCTTAAAACAAAAATCAAGTCAGCGATAACAACACAAGGAAGGTGATAAAAGGGAAGATGAAAAAGGGACGGAGACTTACACAAATACGAAGATAACGTCGAAGGTGAAAAAGAAGAAGAAGAAAGGTAGATGAAAGAAGGCAATAAGTTGCTTTATCTTTGCTTGAATAATTTCGAATACAGCAAAAAAATTGGCAATAAAATTTTACTTTAGAAGTGGATATTTAAAAAGGTTAACAAAATGTGGAACAGAGTTTATATGTGTACAAATAACGTTTGTCTATTCAGAAATACCTTCAGTGACATTTTCAGCAATAGAAAAAAGCGAATTGAAGACGGCTGCCAGAAGTTGCGAACTTTATAAACTCAAATACGCTTTCTTGGTAAATATTTCTGCACAATAATTGTTCATTTATTCTGCTCATTTACTTAATCTGTCTTCATCAGTTTACTACATCTATCTGTCTACAGATTCACCCACAGTGGAGAGTTTAATGCTTTCTCTGGTACGTCTATCTTATCAAGTACTTCTGCTCTTTTAAAACAGTTTTGTACAGATAGTTGAACGTTTTTTGCATAAAAAAGTTTATTTTCTCCTACATATATTTGATGTTTAAAAGTATGCGGAAGACCAGTACATATTTACGCCATAACTTTTTTTTTAGCTTTTTATAATTTTCCTTCATTGTTTTTCCCACTTTATTCCTTCCCCTTTCCGTTTAACATTCTCAAATTTATCAGGTTGTATGCAGAAATGGAGTGGGGGCGGTGGGGAGGGGTGAAGGAAGAAAAAAAAAGCAAAAACAAGTTGTTGTTACTGTTGTTCGTTGTTTTCATTATTGTCGTTGTTGTTGCTGCTGCTGCTGCTATTAAAATTTCTCTATAAACAACATCGAAACAACGGTAACAGCAGTAATAATAATTTGTGGTACAGGTGTATCACTACTAAGATGACTGCCACTACTGTCAAAATGATTGTTTCTTTGAATTTTGCTTTAAAAAATAATCGTTTGAAAAACAATTTTCAAATTCTATCCCTGAATTGCTCATCTGTTCTGAGGTTACAGTAGATAATCCTATTGAAACTCAGCCAGCAATTGACAAAAGATTATGGCATATAGCAAACTAAACTGTGATATCAGTTTTTCTTGTAGACTACCACCTTCACTTTTTTTTTTATTCTTATAATGCCTTTGCATTTTCTCGACCAGAAACAGATTCTATGTTTCATCGTGTGCAACAGAAAATAAACAACAGCAGAAACTTATATGCCCATCAGATTAGATGTTCTTGAGAAGCAGAAAATGTCATTTTTTCAAATAAAAAATAATCTATTAAAATTGGTTGACTGCTTTTATAACAGATCTACTAAAGCAATTGCATCAGCATCTGATCTCCTGCACAGATTATCTGTCGAATGACAAAATTACTGGCTTACCCGTCACTGCTATGCATAACATTCAGCAGCGGTATAAGCAACTGAAGAGTTAAATGGAAAACAAAACAATAGTGACAGTTACGTTGATATCACTGTTTGAAGCGATGAAGTTAATTTATTTCACAAAAACTGTCTTACTTTACCTCCCTTTCAAGAAAAAAAAAAACAATAAGCTTACCTTTGAAAAAGAAAAAAAAGTTTGAAGAAAAATTGTGCATTACATTACACAACAAATTTTTTTTGTCTCCTGAAACACTCAAAGGAAACAATTCTTCATTTTTTACTGAAATACTTTCACTACATTTTTCTAATTCTTTTGCTAGTCTTTTTTTGTTGTTGTTCCTTATCTTCATTATAAATACAATAATATTAAAGTGAAAAAACATATATTTAGGGGATATGATAAATAAAAAGACCAGAAGTCCAACAAAATTGGTACTGTTTAACATATGGTCTATCTACACATTTGAATATTGTACATTACTTAATGAAGTGTATACATAAAACAAAAAAAAATTTTACCAAAGTTTTTTTCTTACTTTTTCATTTTTTCAGAACTAGAGATAAGTATGCAACAAAGTGAATTATTATTCATAAAGAAAACATAACCTTTTTCAAAAAAAAAAATATATATATATATATATATATTATATGCAAATCTCTACTGACATTTTTTTTTTCATAAAAAGCAGCAGTCCCAAAATTCACAAGATTGTTCAAAGCTCTCATCGTTTACATCCAAATGCCTGCCTTAATGTATTGCCTCTTCAGATAAATTCTTCCGGTTTTCCAAATCTGAGCACCTACTTTTTTGATGAATTTGTTGTCAACTGCAGACATGTTAAAAATGCCTTTTATTTTGGTTCTTTTCTTCACTAGTATTTAGTTTTCATTAAACAAAAATAAAGATGACATAGAAATTGCACTTAAACATTTGAAGACAAGATGCTAAAAACGAAGTTCAGACCTAAAGTGACTGCCAAAAGAAATGAAAGAAAATTGCACACAAAAATGACTACCAAATAAGCTCTCCAAATTAATTCAGTAACAGGAAATCAAAAGACCCAAGAAAAGTGCGGACAAACTTTTAGTGAGTGAAAAAAGAGCAAAAATTCGTGAAAGACCTGACCGATTGATTCATAGCAGAAAAAAAATTAAAAAAAAATTTTTTTTTTTTGCTTTTTATTTATGCAACTAGTAAAGAAATCTTTCCTGTCAATATATTTTAATAAAGTAAAAAATATGTTTCTTTTTCTTTTTTTTCTTACATTACTCAGTAGTATTAAATTAGACATTGTAAAACCAAATTATGTAAAAAAAGAGTGGGTGTTGTCAGATAATAGAAAGTGAATGATATTTTTGAAGAATGGACTGTTTAAAGCAGTAACTTAATCAACAGTTGCGATTTCATTTATATTTGCCATTTTTGGCTAAGCAATAAATCAGCAAAGCGATAATCGCAAAAATTATAAGAAAAAAAAGGGATACAATTGAAAACAATTAGAAAAACCAACTGTAGTAGCAGTATAGGTAGTAATAGTAATAGTAACACCAATGTTGGAACAAGGGGGTAGTGACGAACGATGGAGGGAGGCTGACAGAAGAAACCCAATGGAATGTATGTGAACGAAAAGATGAAATAAAGGAGAGAAATATAGGAAGAAAAAACAAAAAAGAAAAAAAAAGGGGATGATTTTGAAGAGAAAAACCGAGGGAATAAAATGGGAAGGTGATAATTTAGTAGAGTATAACACAAACGTAAAAACACAAAAACATACGCATACACATACACATGTATATATATATATATATACACACACACACTCACACACCCAAATACACACAGCACATCAGGCGCTTCTCAAAACCCAGTTGTGTTTCTTTTTCACATAATAATTAAATAAAGTCGTCTCAAAAAAAAAATAATTATGAAAAAAATGCAAAAAAAAAAAAAAAAAAAA